TACACAACTGTTATTCATTTGGTCGCATATGATCATATAAATGCGATTGGATGAGTCAAGGATTTGGGGTAGGAGCTTCTGCAACAGAGGCATAGCATTGAGCCATAGATAGATAGATTCTTGCGTACACACCATGTACAACATTGGACCATCTTCAGGTTTGTCGCTGTTTTAGCCCCACCTTGAACATGGGTGATCGAAATGTGTCATTTATGTCTGGTCTACATACATGTGCATTACATCTTTTCGATTCTCTCTCTTCCTTCTTGTTTTTTTGGCTGTTGATGCGTATTATAAGTTCTTTTTGTTCCTTCTCGAAAGCGTTTTTGTCTTCGCAATCACTAGCTTCCTTTGCTTTGTTTCTTTACGAGAGATATCTTCAGTATAATTGTGCAGATTGTTAAATGAAAGCTGAAGGGTACGTTTGACTTGTGAAGGATTTTAAATAAGAATGTGAAATCTTGAGTGTATAGGGACATAGATGCAATCATTTGTGTGTCACACGTTACGAATCGTCTAATTATTAAATAAAGAAATTATAAATTTAATATTTTCTTATATTTTTAAGATAATAAATATAATTTTTTAAAATTTATTATTTACTTTATACAATAATAAGAAAATTATTTAAAAAGATTATTAAAAGGATTTAACAAACCAATATATTCTTCTTCGTTTTGTTCAGTGAGACTAGTCCTACCTACGCGGCGCAAAACCTGGAGACACTATTTTCCGAGAATTTTGATGCATCCCATTCCCACAGGGTTAGATATGGATATGGCTGATTATGACTCTCCAAGCATGGTGGATATCAGTTGTTGAGCTATGGAGTAATTAGAGCCGTGAAAGGATATAGTCACCCACTAATCATTAAGTCGAAAAAGCAGTATATATATATATATATATATATATATATATATATATATATAATCACACATTACTTCCTTTTTCTTTTCTCCTTTTGTTCATATTTCTCTCTTCTATCAGTCAATCTATTCCTCTTTTTAAGGAGTGTCAACAAATAATTACTCGTATACAAATAATTAAATTTGGTTATCTCATAAGGGATCAGTATGGTACGGTGGCAGGTGAACTTCTAAAAAATACTTATGAAAAAAAAAAGTAAAATAAATATTTTTTATGAGTTAAAATTAGTTATGTTTCTTAAATTTTAGAGAAATTAAATAAAAGAATTTTTTTTAAAAGTTAAATGAGCATAAGTTAAGTTAATTTTAACATGTAAAAAAATTAAATATTTATTTTACTTCTTTAGTTTTTTTTTTCTCTTATAAGCATTCAATAAAAACGATCAATTCAAACCGATCCTATATCCATTTAGCTAGAAAGAGAGAGAAAAGAAGTGAATATATATATGAAGTAAAAAAAAACATAAAAATTAGAACCAATTAGGTCAAGTTAATTACTTCTTATAACCACATATTTTAATCAAAACTACGGGATTGTCTGGCTCATAGAAAAATCTAGTCTTGAATAGGTTTTTATGAGGACACAGATAATCAAGCATTCTTGCCGAGATTCTAGTCTGCTCTTCCTTGCAACGTTACCGTGGGGAGGAATAGCTCAGTCATTGGCCATTCTGATTAGCTTTATTTCTTTTCTTCTTATATTCTATGTCCTTCGAGTTTATTATTAAGCTATAAAAAAAAGGACTGGCCTTATTTCTAAATGAACGACATTTAGAAAATATTGCAAGAGTTGTCGTTAATTTACAAGTTAGTCTCACAAGGACTATCACCACATAACTTGAGGCAAATTTTCTGACTAACCTTATTCTGAATAAGGTGACCCAAATGTCACAAAACAAATAAGGAAGGGAAAAGGAGATTTTCTGGGCAAATATTTCTGGAAGAGAAGAATTTCTCAATTTGATGCCATTGAATAAAACCTGCATAGAATAAGTAGAGACAACATTTAATAAGATTACAAAAATCATTAAACAAGACGATATCTTTGAAAACCACTAAAAGAAACTTCCAACTAACATGATCATAATTAATTAAATGCTTCTTCAATATCTTCTTTTTACTCTAAAATTTATACAATTTATTTGACCATAAAACTTATTGAAATAAGGGAAGAATTTATCTTAATAAGACTAAATCACTTATTAAAATAAATTGAAAAGAGTTAATAAGACTATTTTCAAAAGTTTTATTTATAATTTTTCTTTTAAATAGAGGCTTTATATACACTTACATAAAATAAATATAATGAATATAGATTTAAGGAAATAATATTAGTTATCCCTACACTTACAAAAAATTCTCTACTTTTCTTCCCGATCCTTCCCCAATTTGAGATTGAGGTAAAAATAATTTTATTTATTGATTTCCTTAACATTTTGAGATCACATCTAATTACAACAATAAATTAAAATTTTTCATTTCATTTTAAAATTTCTAAACAATGATATAATAAAATTCTATTTCATCTCATTTTATTCCATTCTATCTTATTTAAATTTATTATATTTATCCAAATATAACTAAATAAATAAATAAAATATTCTAAAGATATACGTAATAACAACAGCAACAACAATGTTAAGGGTTGAATAATTGAGACAATTTCAGCATAAATTTTAGCTACAAACTTTTATATGTTAAATACTTGAAAGAAAATTTTTACGGTTTATAATACTTTTATTTGACTCAAACAGAGAATATCTGATATATAATTATTTACGTACATTTATGATTATCTTATCTAAGTTAAAATTTAATTAAAAATATTATTAAAAATTAAAAGAACTGGAACTTTGCAAATTAATTTACTGTGTTAACAAACAAAGCTAAGGTAATTGAGGATCCTAAGTTAAAATTTTCCATGAGGACAAAAAGGTTAATTTATTTTTCTATTTATAACCTGTTTAAAATTTGAAAACTGTACTACAGAAGAAGAAAATTCCAACACAAAATCTAAGATTTACTTTTTAATCCTTTTAGTTTTATTGCTCGATAACAATCGGATAAAAAAACGACAGAAATGAACACGACACGTCCTGAAACCTTTTAACCATTCAGATTTTTTAGAAACTGAAAAACAATTAAAAAAAATAAGCTGTATCGTTGTTTCTTCTTTCTCAATACACATATTATATAAAAAAAAACAAAATTTATTTAACTTTTCTTGGTAGCACAGGCCAAATCAAGCGTAGAGAGAGAAATTAGAGAAAATTGAGAGAGATCCCTTCCCCGTGAGAAAAGCTTGGAGGCATTCAAAGGGTTACTCAAAGGGGTTTCTCAAAGCTGTGACATGTTTTTGACGCTTAGCTTTGCTAGTTGCTACTATTCATTTGTGTCTCAATCAGCAAATAGAGATTCCTTGCCAGCATCTTACTTATCCACACCGATGCCAATGCATCACAATCTCTTTCATCGGTTTATCACGTTCCCATGCAGAAGAATGTTTCTTTTCACAAACGTATATACTACTCCCTTATCACTGACCCCACACACTTCATCTTTCGTATATATATATGTATGATGCAGCCAAGGCTTAATTTGACACAAGACACACCTAGACCAACTTGCAGATTGTCTATTTCTATATTATCCACTTTGATTGGTATGGACAGTGGCAAACTATCCTGGGTGAAATTGAAAATTTGACATTAAACAAATTTATTTTTCAATTTTTTCAATTTGTTTACTAGATAGTTTTAAATTCTGTGCATTACTTCAAATTTGTGTTTTTCAATTGAATCATCAAATAGTTTCATTTATATTTTGTGTAACATAAACGGTCTATATCTGCTTTAAATATGAAGATTTGCGGGGTCACCAAATTCAAGAAAATAAATTTGAAGGTTCAATTTGAATTATAAGGGAAAATTAACAGATGTTGTATTTAGTTTATATAAGTTATCCATAGATCAAATTTGCTATGCTACTCTTAGTTAACTCCTTTTTTTTTATAAAGTAAAAGAACACTAACAGGATCTAGACCATTATCAACCTAACTATGAATGGTCAAGTTCTCATCTTTGGTGAAGGACTCTCCCTCTTCCTCAAATCAGCGTTAAACTTATCCTTCCTGGAACGATCTTGTGAAGCGAAAGGGTAAGTATTTACAAAAGTCACTTCGTCTTTTAAGTTAACGTGCACATCAGCTGAGAGTATAATTATAAATTTATAAGGATTGAAGACTGATAGCATACATCTGAATGTTAGATAATACATTATTCTCGAGTGAGCCCTTAATGTTACTACAATGGTAAGATCGGGTTGATTCTAATACTGAATGCATAACGGCCTAAAGATTGTAGGATCTGTTTGTCCACGATGTTTAGAGTATTTTCTTAAGGGTATAGGACCACTTGATTTTATGCTGAAATTAGTTTTTATATATTACTTCAAAACAAATAAAATGGGATTTTAACAAACAATCAACATCTGTAAAAACATGCAATTTAATGCAAATTTTTAATGGAATATGTGACATTTTAACTACTGATATTTTTATATTTGACATGATATTTCTACGAGTATTGAGATACGTTTGATTATATGACCTATTTATTATGTCATAAATTTAACGATAATATTTATTAAATAATTTATTTTAATATACTATGCTAAAAAAATATTGTAATAAATTCAAAACAGCTTATAAAAGTCACAATTTATTTTTCTAAGCTGTTAAAAAATAATCACAAAAAATGTTTTCTAATATCTATTGATTTGATTAATGTCTGGAGTAGGGAATACCAGCCTAAGAAATTCTCCTCCATATCAAAGTAGGCCTTAATCTTGGCAAAACAAAGTTGGTTCGGGTGACAAAGAATTTAGCAGGAGGAAAAGAACAAGATTGTCCCTAGAAGTTAAAAGTTAAAACAGTTCCTACCTACGGTAACTCCAAATCTGCATCACATGTGACCAACAAGATTCAGTGTTCTCGTCCTTTTCACTGACCATTAACTGTTGTTTGGATTTCTTTATATATAGTTCTCTTCTCTTTACAATTAGAGACGGAGAGAGAAAGGATAATGGTTTCCAGAGCTCACAAGAGAACAGCCATGTACAGGAACCTACAACGGCTTCGTTCAATCACTAATTCCCATGCGGTGATTACTCTCAAACATCTTTATTTTCTCCGACTTGATATATGTATATATATATATATATATGTGTGTGTGTGTGTCAACTGTTTATTCTTATTATATATTCCATGAGATTAATTCTGCTAACTTGCCTTGCTTACATTATTCTTTTTCTCTATATAAAATATATTGTTCAAGATTTGAATGTTCATATTGATATATGATGGAATAATTGTTCTGCTTGTTTATGCAGAGCCGTAAAACCTCAGTGATATTGGATGCATCAGAGTACATACGTGGTTTAAAGCAAAAGTTGAAGGAGTTGAACCAATTAGCAATTGCTGCAGCCCAAAAAGTCACTGACTATGGTGGTCCAATGCCCATGGTATAATATAAGAATTACATGATACCTAAGCAATAATTAACTAATTCATATAATTATATAATTGAAAGGAATCTTGTGTCTTTTATAACCCTTTCTACATATTTTGTGTATGCTTGCTAATGTTTTTGCAGGTTGAAGTGGAACCGGAGGAGGAGGGATTTAAGATCAAGGTTCTGAGTCAAAGGAGTTGCCAAGGGTTGTTGGTGTTCATATTGGAAGCCTTTGAAAGGCTTGGTCTTGAGGTGCTCCAGGCTAGGGCTTCTAGTGTGGACAGTTTCTGTTTGGAAGCATTTGGAATCAAAGTAACCAACTATATCAAACACACAGTGAGCATATGAATAAAACTTCTCATTTCAAGCAGAAAATAAAATGCATATGATAAATTCTTTCTTTATCATGAACATTATCATTAACTGACCTTAATTTCGGTGGAGCCAATTGCCCAATGAATTTTTTGTTACGTTGATGTTCCAGGAGAACAGTGAAGATGCCCATCATGTGGATGTACAAGTAGTTGAGCAAGCAGTATCTCAAGCTATTAAAAAGTGGAGGGAAGTTACAAAGCAGTATTGATCCAGCAATGAGCTATTCCTAATAAGATCAACTTTTTTTCCCCCTTTTTCTTGGGTTTCCTTAATTTTATTGTTTCATCCTTTAAATGGGCCGAATCTGCTGATTGGTTGTGCATGTGTATATTTTATGACAATGGTGATCAATCTCTGGAGATTATCAAATAGAAAACAATATTAATTTGTTTTCAGTTCCTCCTGAGTTTTGAGCGCATCAGAAGGTCATGTAATTTCAAATCAAGGAAACCCCTCGCTCTAGGTGATTTTTTTGAAAATTTACTGTGTGCTTCATTTTAGAAAGCATCATTCATATTCCTCTTCAACTGAAGAACATATGTATTGAATAAATTTTTAATCTTGAATCAAATCATAATGAAGAGGTCCAAAAAAATTAAATTATTAAAATATTTTAAACTTTCAAGAATATATTAAAAAATTAAAATAATTTATTATTTCTTTATTTAATAAAAATCCCATCCAATTCATTCATTAACCATATTTTATATATGAATGGATATCCATTCATCTTTTTAAAAAAAAATATATTACACGTTTTAAAAAATACTTCAATAAAATAAAATTTAATATTTATATGCATTTAATATTATAGTGTTTAGGATCAATCTTTTAAAATATTATGTGTAATAGAATTTATACTGCTTAATCTAATGGATTATAAAATATTGTGAATTGAATCCATCTAATAACAAATAGTAATCCAATTCAATCCATCTATTAACTTTTTTTAATAATTGGATGGATTGGTTGGTTTTATGCATGAATAAATCGAATGATTAGTGGATAAATGAATTAAATCATCACTCCCTGTCTTTCATATTAGAGAAAAATAAATTAAAATGATTTTTTTTGTAAAGTCTCAAATTATAAAAAAAAATTTAATGATGTAAAACTTAAAATGACCCACACATACAATATTAGGTGCTCAAGTTGGAGTCCACTCAATAATTCAGAACATCTGACTCGATCACAATGTGCGTGTATGTGATGAATGTTTGAGTGTGAACAATGGCTTTGTGGTGGAAGAAGTTTGAAGGTTGAGGATGGGAAAGAAGTCTACTTTTAGCATGATATCCTTGGACGCGCAAAACACCTTCCTAGCTTTTAGATTGCCAAGGTGGGATTAGAGAAGGAATTTGTTTATAAAATTTGGTTTACTTCTGTAATTGCTCTCTGTTAACTGAAAAAGAATATCAAAGATAAATGAGGTTAAGGTTAAATGAAAGTATAAGAGATAACGCTCCAGCCATTGAGGTTGAGGTTAAAAAAAAAAGTTTTACATTGAAATACAATAAAAAAAGTTAAATAACATATAAATGACAAAGATCTACAGCCTAATAGCATTTAAGGTTTTGGATTAGATGTATATTTAAATTTGCTTGTATAAGTTGTTTTTGAGTCATTAATGAAGATCTTTTGGTAGTTTAAAGAGTGTTATCATATGGTTCCTATCAAATTTATAGAGCGGAGGTCATGTTAGGGATGCAACGAGGATGTTGACCGGCTTGCTTAAGATGGTTTGGAACATCTTCTACTCTATCCAACTCCATTATGCATTTTCTTCAAGTTAGAGATATTTTCCTAGCAATAAGGAACAAAAGATAATAGTACTTGTGTTTTTCTTTTAAATGGTAGATCAGCAGGTTGCAAGGAATCAAATTATTTTCAATTCATCTGACATTGGTGAATATATTTGATCAGATCAAAATTAGAAGAAAACTAAATTAAGTTCCATGCTTCATCCATTTCTTAAATTGGTATTATGATCAAGCTGCTTGTTATTCAAAATATTAAGTTGGGGAGTTTTGATGTATTTGTTAGAAGACTGAATGAGGGAAAGGGGTTTTAATGTAATTTTCATACCTATCTTTTCCAAGTGTTATTACTTTTATCCCTTGCATTTTTTTTTGTGGACCCCATTGTGTTAGATTAACAAATCTTTGACATAAAATGAAAAAAAAAATGTATTGTTCAATTTGAGAAATACTATAATTTTAAAGTTTGATATATAACTAAATTCAAATTTTAAAAAGTATATAAACAAGTTTTATTTAAATATGAAAATTTCCATAAATATAAATCTATAATAAAAAAAATTCCACCCAACTAAACATTATGACAATAAAATCTCAACTTGAAGCTGTGTTAATTATAAAAAAAAAAAAAAAAAGCTGTAATTTTCCCATCTACAGATTCTCAAGTATTCATGAGTGATTGAACAAGGTTAATCAGATTGTCAAACACGTAAGTGGACCATTAATAATACCCTTGACATCTTTTCACGAGGATTATAAACCTTTATATATAATTTATATATATAAATTTTTAAATAAGGATATTTTTAAAAGTTTTTAAATGAAAGTACTTTTAAGAGTTAATTTTCTTTTGTATTATATCAAGTAATTTTTTCTATTAAATATTTTAAAATTTTAATATTAATTTAATTTAAATTTTTCACAATTTAAAACTTATCTTTTATTTAATTTTATTTAATAAAATAAAATAATTATTAGTAATAATTATAATAATAATTTTTATAGATTTATTAAGTCTTACAATAATTATGTAATAGATTTTTAATTATTTATTAAAAAATTATTTTAATTTAATACGATTGTGGAATTCATGAAAAAATAACTGTTTGGAAGATTAATTATGAGAATTGGTACTACTAATCCTGGTTACAGCCCCGCCACCGAAGGAAAAAGTAGGAAAGAAGAAAAACAAGTTCTCATACTATTTTTGTGATCCAAAAATCGGTTTTTTGCCCAATCATTTGACTTTTGATTCTTCCCATCACTTTAAAGTTTGACTTTCGATTCTCTTATATACCTTAACCCACGCTCACGTTGCTCTTCTCTTTCTCTTTCTCATTCCTTGTTTCTCATTTCACATCCAAATTCCAATAACTCGTCAAACACTTAATCGAGTTAATACGTTTCCCTTCAGATTTATAATAAAATAAAATCTAAACATAGTCATATTTAATTAGGGTGGTTTGGTTTAATTAAAAACAAATCAGTCAATGTTCAAATCAAATCAACTAGATTACAATTGGATTAGTTCAATTATTTTTTATGAATAGGTTAGTTTAATTTGAGTCTATTGGATTAAAATGAAAAATAAATTATTATATTTTTTATAACTTTTTATTTTCAGAATTGTCTTATTTTTCCCATAAAACCTTAAATTTTATATTATTACAAACTAAAAAGAATCTCCATTCCTCAATAATTTTCGACGACAATTAATAAGATCAAAGCATACGAAACAAAAGGACAAAAATAGAGGAAAGGTGTATAATATTTTAAATTTAAAAATAAAAGAAAATGATAACCAGATAGAATTAGTTTAATTGATTTGTTTTGAATTATTATATACATGAAGTGAAGTCAATTCAATCCGATAATTACCATGATATTATACATTACACGTTGTTCCATTGCATATATAAATAGAAGAAGTTCGTCGATCGCATGCAAACATGCTTCCCTGAGTTCCCATCATACATTTTCTCATCTTCACAAACTGATAAATATGAAATTATTTTGGTTTCTTCGATGCTGCTTCTGCCTGGCGCTGCTTCTCATCAATATTGCCTCCGTTGCACCTAGGTAACTTTTTCTTTAATAGTTGTTAATATATTTCACGTTAATTAGGAATGTAATTCATATATTTTTTTATTTAATTAAGTGCTTGATATTAATATATATATATATATATATATATATATAATTTGGACTTAATTCTTATAAAAAATTTATTAATATATAGTATTTATTTTTTTAAGTTTCTCTAGTTGACATAATTTATTAAAACACTGTCAAATATAAGTTTGTGTTAAATTATATAAATTAAAGAGATTAAAAATAATACAATTTTATTAAAGTTATAAAAATGTAATAAATAATAATAATAAAATTTTATTATTATTAGTTGTTTAAATTTATCTCTGAAAGTTGAGATTAATATTTTTATTTTTTATAACTCATAAATAACTAAGTAGTATTTCTCACTTGGCGAATTTCAGTTACTAAGAATATGGGTTGTTTTGTGACAGAGGGCCAGCTCCTCCTTCAAGGGGTGATTTGGATCTGCCGGAAACACCTCCGCCACCACCAAGCAAGGTCATCGGTTCACACCCATGAACAATGCCTATGAACATTATATTTCTCTACACCATATCTTCGCTTCTATACTTTTTTTCTGCTTGGGATCACCGAAAATAAGCATATATATATATATATATATATATATATATATATATATATATATATATATATATATATATAAGTATTTTGGTCTTTCTTCTGTTGCGTGTAGTAATAAGTCCAGTTTATCCTGTTAGTAAATATTGAAAATCTTCCTCTTAGCAATGCAATTAAAACTGTTTCAGTACTTGAATATCGTTCCAAGTGATGGTTAAACTAACCTTAAAAGACGATCAAATTCTTTAAAACACTTTCTTTTTTCACGACAAAAGTTATGTATATTATCAAGTGAAGATAATTGCTGTTAAGAATCAAGGTTTTTTTTTTTTTTTTTTTCTCAATGATCAACGGCACTTACTAAATATAATATGCTAAAAATATGATAGGGAATTAGAGAAATCCAAACCCTACGTTAAAATCTAAATAGAAATTACCATTCCTAAAATTCCAAAGTTAAAATAAAAAACAAATTACATATTTTTCTTACAAAAGAATCATGATAGAGTATCAAGAGACACACATGAACTTTTCTTTTATTCCGTTCGGATCAGTTACAAGCTCAAAACAAAATTATAGCTACAACAAAGATAACCACAAATTAATAGTGTTGTGCAACGATAATCTAGCAATAAGGGAGCAATTACGGTAGACTAATTTAGGGGGTTATAGAGAACAAATGTGATGAAAAAAGAAATAGTGACAACAAAATGAGAAAGAAAAGTGGGAGTCAAATGAAAAAGGAAGGAAAAGATTAAAAAAAGAGAGAGAGTAAAGAGAACAAAATAAAGTATCTCATGAAAGAGGAAAAAGCCTACTTAATGTAAGCAAAAAACTCGGCTTTGCTGAGAGAAACGAAGATATTCGACACTGAAATAAGGTTGGAAAGAACGATTTGTTGACAAATCAAGTTGTAAGAGTTGTAGTTTCTGGAGACAAAATCATTTGGCTTCACTTAAAGAATATTTAAAGATCTAATTTTTATTAATGAACCTAATCATTAATATACAATTGGCAGGTAAGCCTTTAAATAAGTTAATAAATATATAATTTCAAGAATTTATACTAATTATAATAATAAAAATTATCAATCTTTATATGATAAATTCAAGTTCTCATTCCTGAAAACAGCATGACATTTCTAAGTACATTCTTTTTAGCGCAATCATGCCTTTCTATTTTATGAAACATGTTTTAAGAGTTTCTATTTCAAACTAAATCAATATTTTGTTTGATCTTTAACTAACAATTGTGTCATGCACATTACAGGTATTTATAAATATACATTAAAATAGAAACAGAAAATGTATAAATTTTAAAAACATTCAAGATAAACCATGTCCTTGGTAATAATAAAATATAAGAAAAATGTCAGACATGTAAAAATCTCAATTTAGGGAAAAAAAACGTAAAAATTAATTTACCATGAAATGTTTTTTAATAATAATTAACAAATACCCCATTACACTATTATGCCATAACTGAATACACATGTACTATGCATCTGATGTTGGGTTTAACCTGAAGTTTTCCTTCCATGTCTTCCAAGCTTTTCTGACTTCATCCAATTGAGAATCAGGAATGCTTGAATACTTATCCAAATTTTCCACCCATTGCACCCAAGGAGACTTTGCTGAGTCTAGGAACTTTGACACTTGAGGCAACATAACAGACGTGTAGAACTCATCAACTGCTTTCAGAATTGGTTCTGATTCAACCATAGACACCATTTCTTGCCTTGTAAAGTTTCCAGTTCTTGATCTCATTTTGAAAGCATTTCCCCTCAAAATCAGAACTTCCGGCGGGGCGAGGGGGAGAACAATTCTTGAAAACTTGGTGAGTGACAACAAAATGGCGTCTCTTGGGATCAACTCGCGCTTTACAGCCACAGCTGTCCCAACCATTTTGCGTATCTGATGAGTCATTTCAGCAAGTGTGCATACGGTTATGGTTAAATAATGAGTGCATACAATTAGTGAAACCAAGAAATGCATAAAGCTATATTATCTCATTTGTAGAGAAAAGCACCCAAGTACAGCATTTGACTGAGTTAAGAGCAATGGAATGGTTTAGGTGCCCAATGTAAATGTAGAACAGGTTATCACATCAGAATACTAATCATGTCAAGTGTGTGTGAATGCAACAAAGCCTCTGCAGAAACTGGATAAAATGGTTTATTTAACCCTTCAACTCTAATATGTACAGATTTTAATTAGCTTAAACAACCACCCCCGGCCTAGAGAATACACTGTGAACGTTTCTTTTGATGTTGCAGAAATTGAGTAACAGACCAATTAATCGATATCTTTCAAATTGAAGAACATATCTCTCTATCTCTACCCACACACACATGCATACAGAATCATAAAACAATGTGAATAAATTATAATAAAGGGAGAAATTAAACGTTGGGCTTAATTTTGATCCATTGTCAATTTATACTTTTTTATCATCCAATCATGTATCTCGTCATTAAAAACGTTTGAGCTCCTAGGTAGTCATTACTAAAGTCAAACAATTTTGATTATGAGACAAAGCATAATTAATGATAATGTGCAAAAGCTCTATATTAACAAAAGATCAAAATTTAATTCTCAGGAGCTAAATTCAACTAAGACTTGCCTGATGCAACATGAAGGAGTCCCCCCATATGTTGATCTCAACGTACTCATACCCAAAAGATCTTTCCAGCTTCCCACAAGAACAGCAAAAAACCTTTCGGAAATGGGAAGCATTTAATCTATCTGTCTCATCTGGTTCATATAACCATCTTGCACGAACACCTAAACTAGAATTTTGACCACTCAAGCCATTGGATTCAATATTCTCTGAAGACTTGTGGTTCTGTTCCTTATCATTTAAAGTAGTTGGTCTACCACTCACAAAATCACCCACATCACTTTCCTCACTCTCTGATTCATAAGCTGATACCAAACTAGATGATCCTGTTCTGTCTGACATATCACCATTTCTAGATGATTGCTTTACACGGTATTTTTTCCTGTACTTAGACCGAACAGTATAATTATGGAAAGGATGCTCCCCCTACAATAATAATATCACCAGATCCAGATATAAAAGTAAGTAAATAACATCATTTCAAATATCATATGTAAGCACAATCCTCTTCTCTTGTTAACAATAGATAATGAGTCCCAAGTCAAAGTTAAGTTTGTTTCACATGCACAAAAAAAAAAAATGGCAAAATAGAGTGCACTTCACAAAAATTGAAAAAAAAAAGGTTAACATCTATTCTTGATGATGGTGACAACAACAATGTCTCTTCAATGTATAATATTTTATTTTCAATTCATGGGTTTAACGAGATGGCAGACCAATATGTAACTAATAGAAATGCAGAGAAAAAACCAGTGGAAGAGGGCTAGTGCCTAGTTGAGAAGTATTTGGGTATGTATGCAGGAGGTCAAGGATTGAACCTTTGTATCATCACCTACCGATAAAAATTTAGAGAGACTTATGAAATAATTAATAATTATGACAGAAACTGGATCAGAGAAATGTTAAGAGAATGAAAGAATATCTTTATTGCACAAGAGTCTCTAGAATCAACTGCCTACAACTGATTTGACCTTCGGTATTTGTAACCTTTGAACAGAAACATTACTAACTATATGACTGACCTAAGTAATATTCTGTTACGCTTGTTTTGTCTTCCCTTTCTCTACTATTCCTTCTAACTCTTCTCTAGACCCTTGTTATAGGAGGTGTGCTATCAAATTATTTCACCATTATTATGCACATTATATAGATCTTGTAAAAAGAAAACAAGCCTAACATGTTCATTATTTGGAAAGAATAATTAAACTTAATCAGACCATAAATTTAGAAAGCCACAAAGCAAAATCTTTTAATAAGGAGCAAGCTTACAATAAGCTCACACGTAAAATAAGGAATTCAAGTCAGAAAAAAAGGCAACCATTTTTCTATATGATCAATTAGAACAATCACTAATTCACTATCCTAGCTAAGGTGTGTTAAATTTGTCACGTATATAAGACACAAATGGATAATACCACAACAACAACAAAATACAGATGAAAACGAGTATACCTCAAAAACATTAAGTATGCTGTTGAACTCTGAAATATGAAAATCAATTTCATCTTCAGTAAAATGACTCAGGATTCCTATTATATTGGCAGGGAGGAGATAAGAATATTTCCGCAGATTGCACTCCCTTCTAGGATCAAATCTCCTAAAACAAGCCAAAACTATGAAGTTTAACAGTAAAAAGGTATTAGTTAAAAATCAAGGAACAATTTTAATTCATGAATCACTTGAAAAATCATAATCAGTAGTCCTGATGTGTTTGTGCGTATTGTGCATGTGTGTGTAAAATCCCATGGATCAGCTCTATCCCCACATAGTGGGAAAAATGCTTTGGTGGTTGTTATAAGCCCATGGATGACATTTTTAATATGAACATTATCATACATGAGAAGCAAACAGGGCTTTTAATTTTCAGACTGTTTGGTAGAAGTCAATCAAGTCATAGATTTGTGGCGGATACTAATTACATATTGGGCAAAGAAATAAGAGCCCAAGCATCCAAACAGATCTTAGTCGAGCATTCAATTCCAAACTAATTTTGCTACTATGTCAATTCAGTAGTTACAAATTTTAGTGTAGCACTTCTTATCAAATATCTAAATAAGAATAGACAAATAATGAGATGCAGAAAAACAAAATATCAATTGTTTAAGTTTTAGAGGCACATGCAAGTATTACCATTTACCATTCAATAATCAAGAATGGGAAATTATTCAATTACGCAATGACCTTAAGAAATCAAGAATTATCTATAACCAACAAGAGAGCATCTTACTTTGTTGAAGGCAATATGCTAAAAACTCTGATAGTATCAGGAAGATAAGAGTTAATGCGGTTTGCAAATGCGATGCCATAATCATCTCCTTTCCATGCATTCTCAGGAATTTCCATCTTAAAGGATATCATTGTTGCCAGAGAATGGACCTAGCAAAGCACATCATAAAAGTCGAAAGAAATTAAGATATGTTAAAACAGAATAACAAGTTAAAAACATACAACAGATAGAAAGGGAGTAGAAGGTTACTCCTTTATCAGTTCTGCTACTTCGGCCCCATTTAACTTTGTTCAAGTCCCCAAAATTACTATCCCGCATGCCACCAGCCTTGAAGATAGCAGTTTCCAGTTCTTTCTCAATGGCTACATCATGTCAAAATTCTAATGCTTTTAGCAAGGCTCCATTCATACCAACCAGGCTAATTTAAGTGTATGCCAGTATTCAGAGTTTACATTAAAGTATTGAACTTTATTTGTTCATAAGGAAAGACAACTGAATAAATTTAAAAATTTAAAATAGATTTGGATCATCTCATCTTATTGAGTAACATGATATGGTCACGTTAAAAAAAAAAAAACTTTTAAACAAGTCTTTACGGAAAAAAAAGTATAAAAAATGAATAAAACTTTTTCTATAAATTAAAAACAATTTATAATTCTCTATATCTTGAAATTTATACCAAGAAGTTATGAGAAACAATATCATTTAGCTTCTCTAAAATTTGAAAATTGGTGCAGTTTGGGTTAAATTAAAAAAACAGTATAAAAAATAAATAAAACTTACCTAATAAATTAAAAATAACTTATCTTTTCACTTAGATGGAGATATAATACTATAAAGACTTTGAAAGTTCACTTAAACAGCACTTATATTATAACTACTTAATTAATAATTCGAGAGGATTTAAACTTACAACTTGATCACTGATACTTATTAGATCACAAGACCAGATGAATCCAGACCGAAACAATAGTCAATGCATCCATTTCCAACATCTTAAACACTAAGAGATGATTTTGTACCATAATGAACAAGATAATAAAGGAGGGTCATATCTTACTCGAAAATCTATGTTCATCTCGTTGCATTTGCAGACCTGTAAACAACCTCACCAAATCAAATTAGCCTGAAATTAAAAAAAAAAAAAATTGAAAAGAAGAGAGAAAAGGGTCGGTGGGGTGACCTCTATAATCGGTTCCAACGTATCCCACTCTCATTACAACTTTTTTTTTGACGAAAGGTTCCCACTTTTGGAGAGAGAGAAAAGTGGAATGCGCATCGGTGGGAAGAGAGTGAGTGGAAGAACAGAAGCAGCTGAAGAGTGCTGGCGGCAGAAGCAGAAACGGTGTGTTACGTTGGAATGGGAGTGAAGAATAAGTGAATAGCATTGCTACGTTAACAGCAGTTGGAATGGGAAGAAAGTGAGGTGAAGGAAAAACGCAGCTATTCATCATCTTCAACTGTTACAACTCTATCGTCAAGAATGTTATTCACTTATTATTATGAATGATAAGGTTATTCCCTTAAATTTTTAATACAGCTACATTTTTTAAAATTTATACATTTGGTAATTCTAAATAATTTGTCTATTACCACCAAATAAATAATATATTTACAATTAAACGATTCCACTTAATTTTAAATCTTAATCACTATATTCTAAATATTTTATCATTTCGTGTCTTTTAATATTTCAAATGCAAAACTTCATTTACGAGTTAAACCATTTTTTTTCATCCTGGGTAGTTTTTAGACTATATTTGAATTAGTTTCATTATGTAAGTTTTTCAATTCAGATATTTAAGTCCTAATTCACATCGAAATCCTTAAAAATTATGGCAAATATGAACTAAAATTCTTAAAATAATGATTAAAAATTAAAACTATATTTTAATTCAGTGTTATTAATATATTTTTATTATAATTTTTTATATGCCTTTAATATTTATTCAATAAAAAAATGATAAATAAAAGAAGTTATTACAAACACTTAAAAAAATTATTATAGCAAGATCCAAAATCTATAGATGAAACAAATTAAAATAAGAGACTTTTAAAAATATAATTACATAAATTAATTTGAACTTGTTTAAAAACTATACTTCCTCAAATTATTTTTTAAATAAAATAGCAGTTTTCAAATGGTCTCTTTGTTTAAAAACAATCGTTAAATAATCTGAGACTATGTAGTTTTAACTACTCACATCTTGTCATATGTTTAAAATACAGTCATTATTAATTAAAATCATAGTTGTTGGAAACTATTAAAAAAATTTACTCCATAAGGAGCTTCCAAATCTCAAAGTATTTTTTTTATTTTATTTTTTTATAAGCTTTTCTCATGTACAGTGAATTTTTATTTTTTTTTCTTCACCTTCCTTCGACGTTATTATTTTTTAATTCAAACTCATTTGAACTTGTACTAATCTTAAAAAAAAACAAAATTAATTAACTTATTTTAAAATTTGTGTTAACTAGCGGAGAAAAAAAAAACTTATGATTAAGTTTGTATTGTTGGAAAGCAGGAGATGAGTTTTAAATTTTATTATATTTAGTATTTGAATGGTTATTAAGTTGTGTTCAGTATTAAACATGCTTTATATATTTTTTAATGCATAATTGTAATACTATTAATAGTTAGCATCTTTAAATTGAAAATACACTTAGACTTTGTAAATCAATCAATATTCATAGAAAAAAAAAAGGTCTCGTGATGGAAATGCTTATTAAGGTCACTATTAATTATTGTTGATTAATTAACGCGGTTTGACTGTGTGGGAACGTTCATGTATGATGTATCCAATACAATATGCAATAACTCACGTCAAATGAAAACAAGTTTATGACTTTCTCTTTTAATAACGCATTATATAGCCTTACGCTTTCTTCAAATGCCTCCATACATTTTCTTCGTTGTATAAGACAGCATGAAGCTTGTCTGCTTTCTTCAATTCCTTTTCTGTCTCACTCTGCTTCTTATCCATCCTTCCATCGCTCCAAGGTATATTACTCCTCACTTTATTTTGATTATTCAAAACTCCACTACCTTATATGTTTACATTTTTCTTGTTTTTTAAATCAAAACTATTATATATTATTTATATTTGAAGACAATAAATGCATGTAATTCTTTATTTAATACTTTTTATAAAGTAAGAGAAGTACTATTAGCATGGTATGTAAGTGAAATATTTCACAATTCACTGAAATATTGTGTGACAGAGCACTAGTTCCTCTCTCGGACAGGGAAGGTAATATTTTACAATTCACTGGAATATTTTGTGACAAAGGACGGTTTCCTTCTTCGGGCCGTGACCAGGATGATCCCAAACAGCCCCCGCCGACACCAGATGGGGGCCCAAGAACACGCCCTTGAAGAGTACAGCACGAGCAATTCTTGTACGTGCATAACGTTTATAAAACTATTTAACAAAAAAAATGTAAAAATTAAATTAAAATAAAGATATAAAGATTGCAATCATGCATGTAATAAAGTAAACGTAATATCATCTTAAGCTTGTGTTATTCACATTATGCTTATATCATAATGAATTATTTGCCCAAAATTGCATGAGGTTTTCGTTAGTTCCTCTCTATCTCTTCGCTTCTATTTTTTTTTTTTTTCCTTCTTGGGATCACCTCAAATAAGCACACTGTAATGCCTTTTATTAAATATAGGAAATTCTTCAAGATTTACAGCAATCTAATTAAAAGTATTTCAGCAATTAAATTCCAGCTCCAGATAATGATTAAACTAGCCTTAAAATAATTAACCATAAATTCAAAGTCATTAAAACAAACATAATTTATGATTTTGTTCTGCGATGCATTTTTGTTTATTATTATCACGGATTAATTCACCTATAACATGATTTTACCATATCAAGAGACAATATCAGTACACCAAGCAATATAACATGATTTGCAAAATCGTTCAAACATAAGATTGAAATTGCTAGATTTCAAAAATCAAAACTCATCCAAAATAATAAAATAAAATCATTTCCTATCGTTTAATATTTCAAATTAAATTTTCATTTAAAAATCAAATCAACTTTTTTCCATTAGTAAGCACCACCGCTTAGACTCGATTAGAATTAGCCTTCAATTTATAAGTTTTATTGAGACAATTTTTTTATCCCAAAACTTATAACAAACTCATTAAAATTTTAAGGTAAATATATATCACTATTTTTAGAATATAGCTCAAGAACGAAAAATAAAAACAGTTACTAAAAGAATCGTGCAATCCTATTGCAAATTTTAATTTACTCTTAATATAATTTTTTATTCATTAATAAGAAGTATTTAGAAGCACTAAGAAAAAACTATTTCAGAAAAATCCAACATTTATAGACACTTAAAAGAAGTAAAATAAGAGACTTTTGAAACACTACATCAAAGTACATACATTAATTTTCATTTATACAAAAAAAAAATCATTTTACTTTTTTAATATTATCATTTTGACTTGTATAAGTAATTATTGGTAGGGATGTCTAATGGGTCGGGTCGGGTCAGATAGTTTCGAGTGTAGTTGACCGAAGAATAGCGCAAACTAATCCCTAGATTATTGAAACCGTAACCGTTCACTTAAAAATTTGGGTTGAACTAATTACAGGTTATGCAGATTGCAGGTTGAGCGGGTCAGAGAATCGGGCCAATGACCCACCTTTACTCTTCTCACTTCTTTTGTTTTTTCTTCCTTGCAAATGACAAAATCAACAAACTCTCAAAGGCAGACCCTACACCCAACCAAAACCAGTGGTAACAAACCTTAGGAGTTCCAAAACGACACTGTTGCAAGATGTTTCAATTAGTTTTGTTCCTCCTTTTCTTTCCCTCTCCACCACAACTCTCTCTCTCTCTGAACCAAGACAGTCTCTTTCTCCTCAAAGCTAGGCGCCAACTCTCTGACCCAACAATCAAACTCATTAACGCCTCTCTCTCCGTCTCTTTCTCCGAAGTCTTCTGCTGCTTCCCCTCTCTCTTGTCTCTCATTCTCTCTTACAACCTCATCAACTCCACCCTTTTCGGCGGTGCTGTCACCAGCTGTTGCAACCTCTGCCAGCTCAACCTTTTCCAAAACTCCTTTGTGGGTCTCATTCCTGACACCCTTTCCCAAATCACCACCCTTGAATCCCTCGACCTCTCCAACAACAACCTCTCAGTGACATTTCGACGACTCTCGAGCCTCCCCTTAAGAATATGCGACCCTTAGGGATGAAAACCCTAACAGAAAGAATGAAATCAAAGAATGAAGAAGAAGAAAGGAAAGACAGAAAAAGAAAAAGTGGCATGCGACGATCCTGAGAAATAGAAAAAGATTTAAATATGTCTCTCTAGGATTTCAATTTTTTATTTTTTTAATATTAATTTAATAAGTGGTTGGGTCGGTTCGGATGCCAATCCCTTCACCCGAGTCCGACCGCTTCTACCCTCATAACCCTGTTTTTAATGATATGTGTTTTCCCTAAATAAACTAATCTGACCTTGCCAGCGTTTTGGGCTTTCGGCTAAGCCAGTTTTAGATAGGCTTAGCATTTTTGGATAGGCCTACTTGTTGGAATGCCTCATTAAACAAACATTTAGTTTGTAATTAACTAAACATATTGTTCTTGTATCGATTTGCATGCAATTGAGATTGACTTAGTCTTTTGGATGCGATGCAATGCAATGCACGATTTTCTTTTGTTTGTTGGGCGGCAATAATCATGTATCCATTAAACTATGAAATAACTCACATCACACAAAAATATGTTTATGATTCATCATATAATAATAGTGTTACACTAAAACTTAAAAACTAGCTTTATGCATTAAAAAGGATATCAAGTCATCATTATGTTGTTATTGTTATAGTTTGTTATCTCAATATGAATAAGGGCATCATAGTTGTCCCTTCTCTGCTTGTATATAAATACTCTTGTATTATGTTTGTTTAGGAGGACAAATTTATTTTTTATATTCAATCTTTTCTTTTTTTTTATTGTTCTCTCACATGGTATCATAAGCTTCTGATTTTTTTCTCGAGAAATTTCATGGCTTTCGCAACATCCAAATAGTTCATCCTTTAAGTTTTCTCAACTCCTATTTTGTCAAAATTCAGTTGGAGGCAACAAGCTGAATCTACAATTAGAAGATATCGTCTAAAGAAGCATATTTCTAGAGTCATTCATGTTCCATCACAGTATGAGTCTGAAGAAGCAAAAGCAAAAGGAGTTCTCAGTTTAGAATATAAAAATGAGGTATATGTTGAATTCCACACCAATTATTGTCTTGTTAAATCTCAGGATTCAAAGAAAACTTTTCTGTAAGAGAATCTTAAAAATAGCTTATACATCTTTGATGAAGTGCAATTTCTGAAACATGATGCTTATGTGAATACTGCTGCCTATGTTCCAATTGATGCTACTGTTTTGAATGTTCAAAGATCTAGGAAATCTTGTAATGTATGATACAATAGACT